TTTTTTTTTAAATTAAAATATACAACGTATTTCTAAAATACGTTTTTTGAAACCCTAAAAATCAATTTGGAGGTTATATAAAACATATTTTCGAAATACGGTTTATAAGTATCATTTTTTATTCAATTCTTTTTTTTTAAACGGAACTATTTATTTTTATTTTCCAAATATAATTATAAAACGTATTACGAGAATACGTTTTGCTAATAAAATTTAATTTGGAAAACGTATTACGGGAATATGTCCTTTTAATTTTTTTCTACTCTTTTTTTTTTGTCCACTTCATTTTTTTCTTTTTGAAATAAATAAACTACTCTAATTTTCTCTTATAAATTATAATCACGAGCCTCGAACACGGAGAACCCGACCCGAGGGGCTATTTCTCCTAGGTCGTTTAAATAAAGCTCCGCAGGCTATCTATGAAAGTCCACAATCGATTATTTATGGCGTGATTGTATATAATTTGTACATTAAATATCTCACTCAAAATTCAAATTTAACTTAACTTTAACTCAACTCTAGTGTCTCCAATATTATTAATATAATTAAATAATATCAACCAATCATTCTTATACGTCACATCAACTTTCATTCACTATTCACCACTCACATAATTTTAACTAACTATCACTTCCAATCATTTTCTCCTACTTTTAAATCAAATCAACTTTAATTATTTTAATTTAAATATTATTTTAATATATCCACTAACAACTAACTATACTATTTTTTTCAAACTTAACTATAATTAAAAAAAAATTAATTTTTTACTAGGTGAATTCATATCCCATCACCCCCCTTAAAGGAAACCCTAACATTTGTAACCAAGAACACGGAGAACCCGAAGGGCGTTGCAATGGTATTCTCTGTCTTTTCTTTGTCTATTCGTAATGATGTTCGCTCTGATGTGTGAGTGCTGTTACTTTTTTCTTGTGATTTTTCAATTAGTTGCTGTTTTTGAATCAACTGTCTATGTATCGGTAGGCTGCAGTCGGATTTGGGCTTGAAATTTACTCTTCCTTGAAGCTATAGAAAAATAATTGCGTATGCGAGTGTTTGTTTGTGTGTTTGTTTGATTGTGTATTGTGTCGGTAGGTTGCAAAGTCTTGTTGTAATGTATGATGTTTGTGATGTTTGATTGATGGATGGTTTACTCGAATTTTTTTTTCAACTAGAAGTAGTGGACCTGATAGAGAACTGAATCAAAAGAACTGGAATTAATTTTCAGGATGGTGCAGATGAAGCGGGCTATCATTCGTCTCCTCTTACCATAATACTTGAAAGAGTATGCTCCTATCTTTTGCTAGTAGTGACGTGGAATTTTATCGTCGATTTCTTAATTCTACAGTTGTGGCACTGAGTTTATGTATGTGTGTATGTATGTTATGTTATGTATGTATGTATGTATGTATGTATATGGTGCAGGAGAAGACGCAGGAGGAGCTCATGGATATGGTCCAGCACCTCGTAAACGAACATCCTGAACTCATCCCATCCGCAAAAGAACTTCTGGAGGCCCTTGAGTGTGATTGTGATTGTGATGACAACAAGCATGCTCAAAAAGCCATGGAGCTTTTGAAAAACCAACACGTTCTCCAAGGTTTCGTAAAAACTTTTGCTGAAGGTTACGCTCTTCTCAGGTGTTTAGACATGGTGGCAGAGAATGGGCTGGAGTGCAGAACGGTTGCTAATAGGGTGGCTCTTATTAGACAAGATCCCTTGTTGGATAAATGTGTCTCGGCCAAAGGGGACGTAGATATAATGAGGTTGGTTTCTCTCTATCTATTATATTCACATGACTTCACGAGTAGTTTCTACAAATTGGTCATTGTTGTGAATAGAATAACCAAAGTGCGGTTGGACTAGATAGTATGTTGATTTAACATGATATCGTTACAATTTCACAGTATAGTCCTGATTTTTTTCTTTGATTTTTGAAGGGGAGCCTTGTGCATTTTAGTCGCGTACTGGATTGATCGAAGACTGGAAAGATGGCTTAGCGAACAGGCCTTTAACCTCGGTGACAACGAAATCCAGTACACTAACACTTGGCCAAGTGGGCATCCCTATGGCGTTGACTACTATGACTGTTTTCTTGGTGGTGATAATGACGATGGAATGCATAATAAGCTAGATGAAGCGGACCTTATATTGTCTCCTCTTACCATAATATTTGAAAGAGTATGCTCATATCCTTTATTAGTAGTGACATGGGATTTTATCTGTCGATTTCTTAATTCTACATTTGTACCACTGAATTTATGTTTGTATATGGTGCATCAGGAGAGGACGCAGGAGGAGCTCATGGATATGGTCCACCACCTCGTAAACGAACATCCCGAACTCATCTCATCAGCAAAAGAACTTCTGGAGGCCCTTGAGTGTGATGAAAACAAGCATGCCGAAAAAGCCATGGAGCTTTTGAAAAACCAACACGTTCGCCAAGCTTTCGTGAAAACTTTTGCTGAAGGTTACGCTCTTCTCAGGTGTTTAGACATGGTGGCAGAGAATGAGCTGGAGTGCAGAACGGTTGCTAATAGGGTGGCTCTTATTAGACGAGATCCCTTGTTGGATAAATGTGTCTCGGCCAAAGGGGACTTAGATATAATGAGGTTGGTTTCTCTCTATCTATTTGATAATATATTGATTTAACATGATATCGTTACAATTTTTACGGTTTTGGATCGATGTGTGGATGGAAGCGTGTATAGTCCTGATTA